AGTTCACGGCGATCGGCTATAAATGAATGTTTTTTTGGTAAGTTAAAACTTTGAATTCAGAAACTGTAAAAAATTAATAGGCTAAACTATACCGATATTGATGAATTGGTAATATTGGAGGCATTGTTAACGTGTGAAGTGACGTTGAGCGAAGCGGATAGTTGGGCGATAAAGGAGAAGCACAGCACAACAAGCAAGTGAGCAAAGACCCTGAAAAAAAAGGTTTATACAACTCTAAAAAAACGCACCCCATTCCAGCTGAAGCAGCCGCCGAAGATCAAGTCTGCGGCATTGGGACCCCGTCCAGCCCATCGCCCATACAAAACGTAAAAATTCAAATTCAAATTCAAAAATTCCCGTCAAATTATCGCCTTTCCCGGACTTTAGCCGTTTTGTCATTCCGAAAATCCGAAACCTTCTCGGGTTCTTTCCCATTATCGGGGGAGCCATACTATTACACTAATAGACTACTATTACAAAACGTGAAAACTTTAGTAATATTTACCAAAAAATAACGACGATATCGATTTTTCAACCCGAAGATGATCGATTTTTGGACAAATCGCCGCTTAAAAAATATTTTTTAGAGTTTTTAGATAGTTTTATGGTTGAAATACAGTTATATTTTACTAAAAATACTAAGGAATACTTCCTATTACGCTACTAAAAATTTCTAGATTCATTCAAAAAATTTCGCCCCCCGATAATGTGAAAGAACCCCCTCTCGATCCCTTGATAACTTGTTTTCGCACCCGCGAGTTTTCAGAAAATTCCGCAAACGATGGCCGGCCACCAGTTTCACACGGCCATTTGTGTTTTTTTCAGGCGAAGCCAGCGCAGCGGCCGTTTCCCAGAATACCCGCCGGGCACTTTCGAGCGGCCGGGCGGGATTCCCGTAATTTATTCACGAAGATCCCAGGGATTTGTTAGGGCCGTGGGCCCAAATGGCGCGGGTTGTGGGAGAGCTGTGGGCCGCATTTAAGGTGCCCACTTCCGGGAAAACAGCCACAGGCGTTGGGGACACAGTTCTAAAATTTATTTGACCATAATTCAAGATATTTTTCAAACTCAAACCAGTCTTGCGGGTTCCCTTGTTTTTTGCAGCAGATTCCGCGCGCGCCCACCAGCTTGTTAGCACCGGAAACGGGCGGGTTTGAAGGCGGCGAGGGCGGGATGGGCGCCCGGCTTCTGAGGGGCGATGTGCTTTTCTCGGCTTTTCAAGACGCAATCAGCCGGCGCCGACTTGGGGCCCCGCCGCCGCGGGCATCCATTCCAATTTCACGCGATTCTTCTTCTTGGTCGCCCGGATCCGGGCCGTTCTTTTATCTCGCACACAAGCGCAGGCGTGGATGTAAAACATTCGCTTTTTCGTTTGCTACTGCACCTCATTCGGCTCGTTGAGCTTTAAAAAAATAAAAACTAATAAAATAAAAAAATCCCTAGAATAAAACTAGCTTACGCCGTTTTTCAACGATAATAGGATATTCTAAAAAATCTGAACATTCTGAAACTTTGGTCTTTTTTGCTTCATTGTACATTGTTGTACATTTTTTACCTAAAACATTTTCGAAAATTTTATAATTAATGAAATCTAGACGAAAATACCGTAAAAATTATTTATATCTTTAAACGGCCGTACGGTATCACGTGGGAACATTTTATTGCCGCTCATCAACCCCCCACCGCTCACAGTCGAGTACCTAAATCTCCCCGAAAAGATAGAATTTCGACGTTTTGAAAACGAAACCAGATTAATTTGCCTAGAAAACCCGTTTTTCGAACAAAAGTTACTTTGTCCAGCCCCCGCCGCATGCCCTTTACACCTCACTTACGCCCGCCGAACCGACTTGCGGAAGCCAGCAAATTAGACACAAGGGTTGTTGTCCTTATCCGCCATTTTGCGTGCAAAAGCCGACGTCTGGGCTCCATATTCCCCCACAGCGGCGCCTCATTTAGCCCTATTTAATGAGCGGCACGACGGAGGAGAAGCTTCAAAATTCCTTTTTCGCTGACGTCCCGCGCTGAATTCTGGACCCGCCGGCTTGTTGATACGTTCCACGCGTTTTGTGTTCCTCGGGAAGCCGCAGGGCGGCCGAATCCCATTTCCCCGGCCACCACTCATCTCGGCATAACCCTCGATTCGATATACAATTTTTTTAAGCCAGTCTGACGAGGTAGACGTAGCGTTCTTTTTAGCCGGAAAAAAAGGATTAATTATGGATTTTATTGCATTTAAAGGTGCTGGACGATGACCAATTTTTCCCAGTAATCCTATGCGATCTTATAACAAAAAACAAACCACTTGTATAGCACTTTACACAGCTGTTTGATATGGAAAGCTCATAAACCATCCCAAAAAGTTTCGACCATTTTTTGAATTCTGCACAAAAATGTATGAAAATGGCCAAAACAGGTCAAAATTTCGAATTTCGAATTTGTAACTTTCTAGCAATAAAACCCACTAAAAACATGATCCAAATACACTATTTCTTATTAACATAGGCAAAAAACAAAAATTAGTATTTACTCTGAGGAAATCCATAGCCAAAAGCCTTTAGCCTTGCGCGTATCTTTAAAAACTTATTCGTTCCACTGATCCTGACACAGCTAGGCCTATCTGCCCCGTTTTACGTTCTATTTTTTGCGCGTTCCCACAAGCGCATTCCGCGCCGTACTCGCGCCAATTGAGAAGCCGGCCAACTTATCACCCGGGGAACGATCTCCTCGAAATGGGTCTACCCCCCCCCTCCTCATCCTCATGTGCCACATAAGTGCTTTGCCCCGGAAACGAGTAGGGAGTAGGCATCGGGTTGAAGGGTTCTTCCTGCTGCCCCACAAAACAGCCATCTTTTTTTTGCAATGTGCTGGGCGGAACGCGAATCAGTCCAATGGTCGCCGTCGGCACACTGCAAATCGATCAGGAGACATCAGCGATGGGGATAAATGGGAACTGATGGATGTTACGGGTTCTTCCACCCCCCCCACTCCACACATTTTCGCGGCGCTCATTTTCCCACCTTGTGCCAGACGGGGCGGAGCGAGCCGTGCAGGTAGACCGCGGCTAGCTTGCCCGGAAATGCATAGTTTTTGTAAATATTTTTGCTCTAATTCTTTCGAAAAAACCAGGGTTTTTCAAGGAACCTTGCCCTGTTATTATCTTTTTTAAAGCGCTCTATTCACCCTCTAATTGCTCCATTTACTAGCAGAAACCGCCAATTTCCAATTTAATACCAGTCCGTGTTGTACATAAATTCAAGGAGTTGCCTCAGTATTGCCTCATTACTCTCTAGCACAGCAATTTCAGCGAATTTCTATGCCCTGAGGCGAGGTGGAGGCGCAGTCCCGCTCCACGAATTGCACGTCTTCAAGCTGCCGCCCGAGGCGACCCGTCCGCATGCTTCCGAGGAGACGCGCCTGCTAAACTGTAAGCTAAATTAACGTGCTTATTCGACGACGCCATGTAGTTGCTCAAAATGGTCGCCCGAAGCAGGAGGAAACGACGCCCGTCGATATAGTGGTGGCCGAGGATGGGACCTGTAGCGTATCCACTCGCGCCGAGGTACCTTGAAAGTCATCGGTAGAACTCGACTTTCCAGGCATTCCTCGACGAGCGGCCCAACCTCCGCCATCACCGTTCGTTCATCATCGCGGTGGTCGTCAAGTTTTTCCTGTTCAACTGCATCCTTGTCTCCATTCTATTCGATGAAGGGTTCAACCATCTATTTCTCTACGGTCAGTCCATGTGCAGGAATTCCGATGCAAATGTTGAATCTAAAAAAAGCTCCTGCAAGCGGCCTTCACATACCGCAAACATTTGTCCACCCGGCAGCACCTCACGTTTTTGGTCCCTCTCTGCGCGTAATACGATTTCGCGCCGGGTTGACCCGAGGGTCTGCTATCTGAAATCGGGGATGCGCGCCCCACCCCGGCCATAATGCCATCAAATTGGATTAAAAGCAAACTTCCTAGATGCGGGCACGGGGGCTTTGGTTCCACGGAAATGAACCCCAAGACCCAGTGAGGGCAGCAAGGCAGAAAAATAAAACAATTTCCATTCCAGCTGTAGCCCTTGTGTACGCGGTGATGTTACCGTTGTACGCGCTGGTGTTGCTTGCCATCCCACGCCAATCCCTGCTGCTCTTCTGCCCGGCCCTCCTGCTCTCCTTAGTATCGGCATTCGTCCTCTACCTCAACATCCTCATCTCCTTCCTCCGGCTTGCCTCCAACCGAGCGGGAGTTTCTAGCGGCGAAGCCGTTCATATAGTACTTGACGTAAGTGCTAAAGGAATAACTTCTAGAATTCAACTTTAGTTGCTCCTTGTCATCACAGAAACCTTACTCCTCGTCCACCTATGCAAAACATTCGGACGCTTCATGGATCAACTACAGAAGCGCGAAGTTAATGATGATGGAGAACAAAGCACAGTACGTTGCAAAAACGAGACTCCCAATTTTCTGCTTTCAGGCATCAACCTGGACGATAAACGACTACGACGATGAGGGCAATTCGCGCCCGACGGAGCATCGATGGACAAAAATGGGCATTTGTTAATAATCCCCCTCAATAATATTGATCTCCTAAAAATTATCGCCGATCTCAACGTGATAAAACATTTTATCAAACTAATCCAGGGTATGAAAATACAAAGATGTTCAAGGAAATTTGGACTTGAATTGGGATGTTTATATTCACAACTTACTAGACCCGAGATAAAGCGAAAATACCGGAAAGAGGCTGAATCCGCAATTTTGTTGACGTCAGCTGTTGTTCAGTGCCCTCCAAAAATACGGGTTCTGTTGGAAGCGGCGTGAAAAGTTTGTAAACCTAGAACACCATTGTGAATTACTACGGAATATGTCTACCAGTCTTGAAGTGCGGATACTGGAATGTAGTCGGCAGATCCAAGCCCTCCGGGCCGCGGTAGTCGAACGGAAAAAGACTGAAGAAATTTATAGGACAATACAAAGCCATACCTGCGCATGATTAACCAAATTTTTCAGCATTTTATCGGCAAATTCGACAAGGGTGGACTGAAAGGGATATCTCGGCCTTGCAATTAATAAATTGAGTACCTGATTGGACGCTTCCGTGCCGCTGTTCCCCACCCGGCCCTCGATTTCCGCCATGGTTTCAACCTGAGTAAAGTTCCAAAAGTCTCGCGGTAATTTACCTGAATCCCGAGCTGCGCTGTTCCGTGAGCAGAGGCAGTGAAACCACTTCCAAAAACACCGGCGTGTTCTGCATCGGCTTGGTGCAGCTAAAATAAGAGCCATATTCGCGATAAATTATCAATCTACCTTTGCAACCTTGAATATTGCGCTCGGTTTCTGGTTGCTGATAAATCCGAGAAAATGCCAGTTAGACTCCATGCCGCTGGGTAGTGGCCACCGCATATAAACTAAATACAATAACGGCAGAATCTCTGAAGCGCACCTGCACCACCGGTTCCATCAGGGAAGGGCTGGACGCCAGTAAGAAAAACGACGACGTGGTTTATAGAATCAGCATCCGCAATCTCGACCATAAACTCCCTTTCACCGGCTTGAACAAAGTTTGTTTGCAACTAAACCAAGTTATAATCATTGCTGGAAATACCAATCGGCCACTGACGATCACCCCGAAGACGTTTTCCGCCATTCTGAATCAACGATTATTTCTCGACGAAGCATTCAGGCACCCTCGATATTAAAAACGTTCGCATGTATGGCAAATCATTGCACAAACGCGAGTGGCCACTCCCATTCAATGTCACAAGTCCCGACGTATAATAAAAAATTTTATTATCACAGAAGAAATTATACTTTCAAACATAACGATAAAGCTTTGGTAAAGACATGCAGTCGCTTGGAGCTTCAAAACCGCTGGGCACCGCCGCCATTCCATCCAGCACCGCCCGTTGGTGGTCCTCCCCAAGCAGGTTTAGCAGCTCCCCAGTTGCCGCCGTATCCCTAGAAATAAATCTATTGTAAATAAAATAATGAATACCTGAGCATAGCCAGCATAGTCTCCGTAAGCACCAACGTGTTGAGGATAGCCGCCAGCCATATGAGCCGGGGCCGCGTAGTGTGGAGGCACGGGTGCGTAGCCGCTAGCCCAGGGAGATGGAGCCCCGTATGCAACGGGAGGGCCGCCATGAGGTGGATGTCCAGCACCGAATTCTAAAGTAAAATTGAGGATGAATTCTCATATTTATACCTGATCGCGATTGCCTATAGCGCATTGTGCGGTCACGCTGAGTTTGGGCTCGGGCGGTCTCTTCCTTATTCAGCGCTTTCTTAGTTTCACATCGGTGTTCGCCGATCATATGCGTCCGTTGTAGCACACATTTGTCCACCGGGTCGTAATCATGGAAGCTGACAAAGGCAAAGCCTCGCGGCTGTCCGTCGGTGTTCAGGATCAACTCGACTTTCTCCACTTCGCCGAACTCCGAGAAGTATTTTTCCAGCTCTTCTTGGGTTATACCCTCCTTGATGCCGCTGACGTATAGACGCTTTGAGGAAATATTGCTCTCATTCTTGTTGATGGCGTCTTTCGGGATAGCTCGCTTCACATCGACCGGCTTGTCATCGATCACGTGTGGGCGCATCGACATAGCAGCATCCACCTAAACGCACCAATTAATATAAGCAACGAAGTAAAACCAACCGCTTCTTTAGAGGCATAAGTGACAAATCCAAAGCCGCGGCTGCGCTGCGTGTGAGCATCCTTCATGATAACACTGTCGACAACTTCGCCGAACTTCGCATAGTAGTCGTGGAAGGTCTCGTCCGTCGTGTCCAACTTGATTCCGCCAATAAACAGCTTACGGAGCGACTCGTCTTCATTCTGGAAAAATGCACCGTTTACTCATCCTTGCAAAAGCAAAAAAAAGTTAATCCGCCCTGTAAAACTTCCTCACGTTGTTAGACATCTTCACTAGAAATCGACTAGACCGGCGGATCAGACAGCTAGTTTGATAAACTTAGGACTAGGCCCTTAGAGACGTTCCTGTAATAGCCAAGATTAAGAATACGGAAATGAGTCTGTGAAAGTCAGAGAAAGCCCCCGAAATGCCCTCTAAAAAGTTCGAGCTCTGTCTTTGTTTTAGCTATTATTTACAAAAACTAACTAACCTATCCATAGACGCGCCTTAGCAACTGGTTGTTTACCGTTGCTATCACAACAGCCATACCCCAAAAGGATACGGTGTGCGATCCAATGTTTTCAGCGCACGGCAGAGCCGATGGCACGAGAAGGCCAGAAAGTAAACAAAACGCGCAGAAAAGTCAAATTTTCATACTTTTATACAAAAAAAACGAACGTGGAACTTTTAACAAGACCAGAGCCAAATACGAATGAAAATTTTTTTGCGGAAATTATAGATACGACGAAACCGTACAATGTACGAATCCGTAAAGTGTAAAGCGGTGTACAAAACGCGTAACCGATCAATAAAAAATAAATATTTTTAACAAGAACTTTCACGCTGTTTATTCATTCTCTGGTTCAAACATTCGTCTTTCGTTAATTTATCACAACGCGGGTATAATGATAATTAAATAACGTTCAGCTTCTTCCCAATCTTCTCGAAGGCGCCAACCGCATGGTCGACTTGTTTGTCCGTATGAGCCGCGGAAAGCTGAAAGTAAAAAGGATGAAAAAAATATGATTTCGGCTTTTACCTGCACCCTAATCCGCGCTTGACCTTTGGGGACAACTGGGTATGAGAAACCGATCACATAGATTCCCTCCTTGAGCATCTCATCGGCCATGGTGGATGCGATTCTGATAGAACGACGATGAGAAATATTTTTTCTGACCTACCGGGCATCACCAAGGAGCACCGGAGCAATGGGATGGGCGTCATTTCCGAGCACCTTGAAGCCGAGCTGCTTCATGCCGGTCCGGAAGCGGGTGACGTTAGCTTGCAGCGAGGCGGCATACGAGCTATCATTCATCAGCATGTCGAACACCTGGAAAATCATGAATTTTGTAGGGATAAAGTGTTTTACCTTGATCGACGAGCCGACGATGCTGGGCGCCAACGAATTTGAGAAGAGGTAGGGGCGCGAACGCTGGCGCAGCAGGTCGATCAGGGGTTTCGGGCCGGTCGTGTATCCGCCCATCGAGCCACCGAGCGCCTTGCCCAGGGTCGAATTGATGATGTCGACGCGGTGGCCAAGGCCTAAAGGTTTTGACTTCAGCGGTTTGCATCCTGATGACTTACCCAAGGCCTCCTGTGTTCCCCTGCCGGTTGGGCCGAAGAAGCCGGTGGCATGGCATTCATCAACGAAAACCAAGGCTTCGTATCTGTATAATTATAGTTTACTTATTGTCTTTATCAAGCAGAGCTCACTTGTCGGCCAGCTCGCAAATGGCTTTGAGAGGGGCGACATCACCATCCATCGAGAAGACGCCATCCGTCACGATGACTCGATGACGGGAATCTAGACGAAATTTTTGATTCCGCTATTTAGCCACCTTTCGTCTCCTTGAGCTTTTGCTCGAGGTCTCCCATCGAGAGATGCTCATATCGAAGCCGTTTTGCTTTCGATAGGCGGATGCCGTCGATGATCGAGGCGTGGTTGAGCGTGTCGGAGATGATGGCATCTTCGGGTCCTAGGAGACGACAAGTCTAATATTTTGTAGTCAATACACCCACCGGTCAGCACTTCAAAAACCCCGGCGTTGGCATCAAAGCACGCAGCGTAGAGGATGGCGTCTTCGGTGCCATGGAACTGGGCGATTTTCGATTCCAGCTGCAAGGTAAAGTTCCGAATTTCACCATTTAGGGCTGTCCACCTGCTTATGGATATCCTGGGTGCCGCAGATGAAGCGCACGCTGGACAAGCCGGCGCCGTGCGTTTTCAGTGCTTCCTGACCGGCTTTGATCACCTAAACAAGTATGGTTTTGCGCTAAAAAAATTATGCTTACATCCGGATGGCTGCTCAGGCCCAAGTAGTTGTTGGCGCAAAAGTTCAGGTAGGTCCCATCGAGTCCCTAAAGGTTTTAGTGGTATAGACGAGTGGACTTACCTGTAGCTTGACCTCGACACCTTGACGACCGACGATCACCCGCTCTTTCTTGAAGGTGCCGGCTTCCTGGAAAAAAACGTTGAAGCTGAGGCGGTTAGTCGGGTACCTGGATTCCCTGGAGTTCCTTCTTCAAGTGCTGCTGCACGTTTTGCGAGGCCCGGGAGAAGGCCGCGCGGCTGGCCATTCGCGCTGCAACGTCGATGTGCCAATGATTTTCATTTTTAGAGCAAAAGCGCCGTATGTAAATTTGGTATTGGAAGGTAATAATGGTTTCGAAACAACGGAAACTAGTAGGCTGGGCGCGTGCAAAGAGCGACTAATCAAGTGAATGGTCGGGGGCAAGGCCATAAAGAGCAGATTGGGGATAGGAGCTGTCAATCCGAGGTGGGCGAGAGAGAGCGAGATCTCGAAAAGGAGGATGAGAGGGAAGGGATAAAGAGAAAGAGAACGATTAGGTGATGGGGAACTTGTCAAAAACTAAGAGGTAGGTTCAGCAAAATCAGATTTTTAGGTAATGGTCTGCTAGAGTTCGGGTGTGTTTAGGAGTTAATTTCCTAAATATAGCTTTTTTTAATCGTCTTTTATTGTTTTTACGAATTTTTGTACTTTGGAGTTTTAAGAAATTTTATTTTTATTCTTGCCTCGCCGCAAAAAAATCACCATGTTTATTTCGGAAACGAATATCAGTCGAATGCCGGGAAATACAGGCGGATCGCGAGAAGAGAAGGTTTTTGTTGAACGCGGAATAAGGATGTGAATGAATGAATGAATGAATGGGCGAATATTGGGGAGTTTTTAATGGGCAACATCGGCGGCGGTGACTTGGTGCTGCTGGGCGCTATTTCGACTGGCCCTTGCACACGTCGAGGAACATGTCGATGGCCACCTCGTAGGCCGAGTACTCGTCGAACACGTGGTGGCGCTGCATGCTAAATATCGCCAGGTGAGTTTGTTATATTAGGATGACGCTTGTATATTGGTCGCATTAATTCACCCTTACCGCAGATCTTTGACGGTGCCGTCGAGGTCGAGCTTTTTCTGCTTCTCGATACGCTCCGTCTCGATGTCGTAGATGAGGAAGAGGCCTGGAAAGGGTTGTAGGTCACTTTCGTGTTGCTGAACGCTCACCGGTGCGGTAGGTGCCAAACTTGCAGGTGACGACGATCGGCTTCTTGCCACTCACCCCGGCCCAGATCTACAGCGGAAAAGAGGTGCTGCAGGCTTGAACCCTGCCCTACCGCTTGCCGAAACTTGGCGAACGTCTCGACCGGCGGCTTCTCGTCCACCGACCAGGCTGCCAGGCAGAAGAGCTGCAGCAAAGCTACCGTTAGCCACCTCCGCTTTGCCATACCGTCAGCGAGTGCTTGATCTTGCCGGCCAGCTGCACCGAGTGGACGGTGAAGCCGCGCTGCTCCGACTTCTGCTCCACCTTCACGTTGTAGTCGCCGCATTTCGGCGCCGTCATCACGGCCCTGAATACAAGGTATCGCAGTTCGGAAGTCCTACTTGGCGTCCTCCTCGCCAAGCAGCACCACGCCCTCGACGCCCTCCTGGGCGCACATGTGCCAAAAGTCGGCGGCGACGGCGGGCGTGTGGGGCGCCTGGGCGGCGATGTATTTCTCTAAAATTTTTTATATATTTTTTAATTCTACTATTTTATCTTCTACTCAGATTTTAAAAGTCATACTTTGCTTGGCCTTCCACTCGGTCTGATCCTCGTAGCGGCCTGAAAAAGTGACTATTCCACGGCACACCAATCCACGCACCATCGTCAAGCCCGCACACCCAGCTGGCGTGCACAAAGTCGTGGGGCCAGTCGCGCAGGACGACGCGCGTCGCGTCCAGCAGCAGCACGGCTTCAAGCAGTGTTTTATAAGGAGTCATTTTTACTCGGTTTAATGGATTTTAAGTAAAAATCTGGTAGAATACCCGGACTGCGTCTCCGCTCCGCATTTTCCGGCTTTACAAAGGCGTAGAAGCTGGCCTGCTGGATGAAATGCCTGCCAAAAAAAGTAGGAAAACAATTTCCAGGACCTACTCGACAAATTTTCTCTGCACGTACGGCCCGCAACCGCCCTCTTCTTTGAACTGTAAGACAAAAAGTGTTTTGGTTCGGTAAGAGTTCGGTTTACCCCAGCCGGCCCCTCTATATCTCGGCTCCCTGTTCATCTACAGGTGTGTAAAGTACACCAAAATGTTCGCCTTGCTCTGGCGAGTATTTTGGTATACCTTACACGCCTGTGGGGGGGGGCGGCGGGGGGGGTAAACTGAACCACAGCCTTTGGTTCTTTTGTTTAGTCATTGTTCGCTGAATTAGTGAAATTTAGGCGATCTTTCACGGCAAGACCAACCACTTGCTGCTCCTTCTTCGGGTTGGGCGCCTTTTTCAGGCGCAGCGTGTTGTTGGGGCCGCGGCGGGCCGAGCTGCCGCCTATCAATTGTAAATTTCAGGCTAGTTTATCTGCAAAATTTGAAGCGTAGCTTGAGCCGAAAAACGCACTGATTGCCACCGAGCCCTGGGGCGTCTGCACGCTGTCCATCGCGAAGGCAGTAGGAAGGTATAGCGGTTAGATTTTTCAGAGCTCCCTGATCAATTTTTCCATGCTTTGCAGGCTTATGCTAATTTAGTTGTAGACGTAAAGTTCTGGATTCAAAAGGAAAGTCTTGGATTTGTAAGGAATTTATGGTGTTTTATCGCTTGTGTTTTTGGTAAAAGCACTTTTGGAAACATCTTTTAGTTTGTTTTGCGGTTCATTTATGAAAAAACATTTTTCTTTGCTAGTTTGCCCTTTTTCGAGGAAATATCCTTTTCTATCGATGTCAGACTTGTAAAATCACTTCCTCAAGGCTTGCTGCCATTTTGCCACTTTTCCAGATGAGATTTGAGGCTTTTATAACCCTTGTTTTGTAGCAAAACGACTTCCGCAAGGCTCTATTTCGGTGCCGCTTTTCCAACTCGCTTTCAGATTTTCAGGCGTCTCCAAACCCTTATTCTCCCGTAAAACTTCCGCACCGCCCTCTTGCCAGATTACCCCTTCCAATGTGCTTTTTAATATCATCAAACTCCAATTTTGTACATACACGTTTATTCGAGTCGACGAGAGAGTGGGGGAGAGCGACATAGAGGTGTTTAGGGCGAGAGTACGCGACGAGACAAATGCAAACAAAAACAATGTGTGCAGGCACAACTATGGGCAGCCTAGGCGAGGGTGTCTACACTTGAGCGCGTTGGCCTGTGGTGGCCACCGTTGTAGCGATGAGGTTTTTTGGGGCGGCGCTTACATGGCCGCGAAAAGGTGCCTGAAGCTGTTTGATTAGAATTGGTAGTGGGCGGTTTTTCCTGCGTATCAGAATCATCGGGCCGGTAAGTGAGGGTAGAATCCGGGGGAGGGTGTGGGTGGGGGGAAATGACAGATTGCGGCGGGGCAGGGTACGATAGAGTACTGTGTACAAGGGTAAGGGCGGAGGGCACAAGCTCCACGTTGAGGAGTGGTTTCCGGGGGTGGGAAAGACTGGGCGACCCCTGGGTTGAGGCACCTGGTTCTGAATGGGGAGGGGAGAGTGGAGAAACATTTGCCTTACGCCTCCAACAAATCCAAGGCGAAATTCGAGCCGACGCGCCGGAATTGAGTGGATTTGGCAAGGCAAAAGCTTTCCACTTGGTTGGGGGCTGATTATGTATAAGCCGGGGGAGAGACTAAATTCGATATCCACTAGAGCGAACCCGTGGGGCGGAAGAATGGATGGCTAGAAAAGTCGACAGAGTCCTGGCGGGGGCTCACGTCGGATACGCCAGATTCTTGATGACCGACTGGATGGTGGCGAGTGGGCGCTGGCTGGCTTGAAGGCGGCCTGGAAACGGGCAGCTTTTAGAGCTTGGTGTTGCTGAACTTACGGTTGAGTGGGGTTGAGGTGACCACCTTGTAGAGGTAGGGTTGACAGTCGGAAAATTGGACGTCAAAGACGCTCGTCAGCTCCGTTCTGAATTCAGTAAGTTTAGGTGAGCAAGTCGTTTTTGAAAAAAAGTAAAAGTTTTGCAAAATTTGGACTTTTGGATTGTTTTTTTGCCAAATTTTCAAAAACAATATTTAAAATTTCAGAACAACATTTTCAAAATTCACATTTTTTCGGCAAGATTGTTCTCTGGTAGTCTACAGGCGTGTAAAGTATACCAAAATGTTCGTCCTGCTCTGACGACTTGGTACACTTTACAACCCTGTCCGAGAACGGGTAGCCGAGTTACAGTCGATGAAGCTCGGAAAACTCACTTGCTGGGCATCTTCGGCATGTATTGCGGTCGATTTATTTGGGAGCAGACGGCGAGCACCAAATCGCCGAGCGCCTCGGCCACGCTCTCCCGCATCACCGACAGCTCATCTGGAGCGGGGAGCTCATAGTTATTTTGCAACTAGGAAGCTTACCATTTGATGTACGGCAAATCTCGAGGCCGAGGTTCCACACCTCCCACGAGGCGAGCTCCTCGCTGAAGGGCCATTGGCGCTTCTTTTTCTGCAGAAACTCGAGGCCGAGCATCACCTGCGTCGACGAGGAGCTGGGGTCTGGAATCTGGCGATAGTTTTCGCATTATATTCATAACAACGTCGAATAGGATTCGAAAATGTCGGACCGTTCGGGCTGCTCACTCACCTCCAAATCGGTTTATCGGCGGACTTGATGGAGATGAGGCCGGGGTGGGCGGATGCGAGGTCAAACTCTCGGCCACATCCGAGTAGAATGCGCAGACGTGCTCGTCGATGTTCGCGCACAGCTCGTCGCTGTTTATTCGTACCTGAAAGGAGCCGTTTTTCATAATGCATTAGTTGAGTTTCCGATTCCACACCAATCGTCCAGCTGCAGCTGAACAATCCCCCACTCCCCACCATATCCGTGACCATATTTGAGCAAACTTCGCACAACCCTTCCCCCCCACCAATGAACGGGACGTCGCTGCGGTGTGGATGGGACCGATGCTGCTGCTGCGGGGGTTGATTGAGGGATGGGCGAGAGATTGTACAGCGACAGGAGAGCGCAGCGAAAATAAGAACAACCTGCCCCCTGTCCAGCTGATCCCCCTCCAAACACTCAGCTGATCCCCGCGGCGTACGTTTTCTCCGGGCGTGTAAGGCCGGGGGAAACGGGCGGCGCGCTGTTCTCGGTGGTTTTGACAAAAGGATGGCAACACAGCCAGTCAGGTGCACAAAAATGTGATCGCTAACCAGAACTCCAAAAATTGTCGACAACTTACATAGGTGAGATCGATATTCTCGCAGTCGACCTCGGCGAACCCCAGGGAGCCGAGGGTGAAGTGCTTCTCCGCGCTGTACTCGAACTGGAAAACGGGGAAGTTAAATTAGGCTGTGTCGCAATGATCTTTGCTCGCATCCCGCGATATTTTTGTACAATTTCCGCCGCGGTTCTTTCGCATTATCGGGGGGCAAAACCTTTTGAACCTTTTTCCATTTTGTTTTGAAAGATAAACAGCGGAAGTGTTCTAAACTGTTTTTTACTTTGGCACATGCGCAAAAACTTTACAAATTTTTAGTAATAACACAAAAATCAATTTTTTTCGGCCAGACCTTTTTAAAAAGGTTTTTTCTAGTTGAAAAATAGTTTTATCTTACTAAAAACATTATTAAAATACTTCCCCCCTCCCGATAATACTAAAAAAGCTCCGCCACTAATTCCAGGCCCCCTTATGATAACGCGCTTGTTGACGTAAATAACATCAGTAATCCCTCGCTGGAGAGGGCGTGCGTCTTCTAGCGTATTTTTGGGGAGCTAGCCAAGGCATGGCCGGGTGTTTATGGTGCCATGGGAGCGTTATTTACCAGCTGAGCATTGGCCGTCGTGTTTTGTTCCCCTAAAACTGGGCCGAGAGGGGCGAGAGCCCGGGCCCGACGCGTGCCAGTTAGGGACGACGCCCGGGGATTCACCCCTACCCCCCAAAAATGAAAGTGCACGGCGGCCAACACGATCACGTGCACCCGACGGGCGTTTTGGCCAAGGTAGAAGGAGTGAGGGAAGCGCAGAAGTAATAGAGTTTATGCAGTTTCTTACGGTATGCTTCTTAATATGTTGTCACACGCTGAATTTTGGCATTTTATATAGCAAAATGTCTATTCTTCGGTTTCTCTCCACGTCTACGCAGAGAGAAAGCGTATATTGAGCAATAAAATGCCGAAATCCTGCGTAAAATAACATAGAAAGAAATATACGGCACTCCAAAGAATACTTTTAGCTACTAGCAAATGCTGGTAAAAATAAAAATCCCCACCTTTCCAACGCATCGATGCAATAGAAGGGAGTGGAGAAAACAAGCGGCTGCATCTTTTACCTGGCGCAACTCAACATTCTGAAAAAAGAAAATAATCCACAAAATCTGAAAGTTTTTAGCATTTTCAAAACCATAAATATCTAAAAACTTACTAAACGAAACTTCTGGTGTCGTGCATTCATATAAAATTCAAGGGCGACCCGTGTAATGCCCTGAAAATGGGTGAATTGTAGACGGGGTGGCGACGAGGGTATGGGCGCAGTAATGGTATGAAAAAGTAAGTAAGGCAGAGGGAAGAAGATAAGATACGGAAGAAGAGGTATGTTGGGCCCGGGCATTGATTATAGGAAAATAGGGAGGGTAAGAGAGTGCGGGGGGTCAAACTGATGCAACGAAAGGATGGAAGGGGACGCGGCTGTGGAGCAATGCGAGAGGAGACCGCCCGGTGAAAAGCCGTAAAGGAGACGGCCAGCCCGGAAATATAGACCTTCAAAGAGGATGAGGAAAAGGGCGGCGCAAACTTTTTGGATGTGTTGCCGCAGAAAATCATTGTTTTTAAAGCAATAACGACATACTAAAACAAGACGGCTTCAGAAACACAAGAAAGTTATGAGCGCAAAGTATCAATACGTTCAGTGGAGCTCGCCGTAGTTGAATTCTCGACAACTAGAGGCTCCTTTATACGTTCTTACTAGGTCCTATAGTGTTTGACTAAAGCAACTCCTTCGCTTTAAATTGAGAAAGTTCCGAATCCACTATGTACATCATCAGGTCATCCTTGGCCCACACCTCCTACAACATAAACACAAACTACAACAGCGAGAAGGTCTTTCCCAATAGTTACCCCCCCCAAAATTCGGGCTCTACCAGCCGGGGCTCCGACCAATGAAGGCTCTCTATTTTCTTGTTGTGATTGCGAAGAGTGGAAGAGGAGTGGACACAGGAGGGAGACATCACCCAGGATGAGAGGGGCGGGGCGCTAGGAGGTGTGCAGAGGCGCGTCGCGTAGCGCTGAGGGGGGTAGAGGGTGCAGATATGGAAAGCGTGAGGGCATCGATCCTCGCGGCTCCCGACCCAATACACCACTGCGTACCCTCGGGGGACCAATTCTAGAGGCAAAAATCGAAGGGTTCGAATTCGAGGCGTGGAGTGGGAAAGTGATGGCTCAGGAGGGGCATTTGAAAAGGGTTTATTGGTGTGCAAAATGAAAGTTAGAGCTGAAAGAGCGTTTTTGAGACGTACTTACTTTAAGTTACCCTAAAAAAT